TTTTCAAATTAACAGCTCAATATCCTATTACTTTACTCAATTCGGAAACAATAATACCCTAATCTCTAATTAGATAGCTTGATATCTGGTTCAATCCAAATCTCAAATTCAATCAATACATTAATATTAGAATAGCATAAGCGAAAAAAGCCTTTTAACAAATAACTCACTTAACTAATATAAAAAAAGGCCTTAGTTCTAAAACTATAAGATAACTATATATAGCTTATATAATTAGTATTGCTAATTATAGATTAAAAGTTTAATGGAAAGGCTAGATCAAATTCAAGAATACACTTCAATCACTTTAAAATCTAACTCTTCGAAAGATATTTGGAGTTTTCAAATCACTCTAATCCTTCCAATAAAAATCAAAGCAAGATTAAAGCCAGCAAAAATTTGTTTAAACTCAAATATAAAATGATATACCTTTTGATTAATAAAACTATTATCAAATCATCTAATTAATATCGAAAAAGAAATACTATCTCAACACAAATCGAACCTAAAAGCAATAACTATTTCTTAAAGGAAACAATATAAGCTATTTCAATTAAATAAAATAAGAAAATCTATAAAACAAGATTTCGATTTATTTATTCTCGAAAAGATTATTTATTTCAATTTCTCTTTTTAAAAAAGAAATACACTTTACAAAATTAATATTAATAAAATCTTGAAAAAAAGATACAGCTACTCTTTACAATATTATATTTAAATATAGAGATCAAAATACAGTTTATATATATATTAATACATCTTCTATCAAAAAAGGAATTAAAATAGAAATAGAGATAATTGTAATATAATCAAATGAATCAATCTCTTATCGAAAACATTCGAATATTAATATCAATCAATTAATATATAATAGAGAATTATTAGGAGTTACAAAAACTATCAAATATACTAACACTATAGTATATGAAGAATAGAAATTCAAGATCTATTCGGATAACCAAGCTGAACTTTATCATCTAAAAACCTTCTTTGATTACTCTGGGCAAATCTATCAAATACGAGTAATCAAGGCAACAGAGGATATTAGAGCAAAAGGAACTAAAGTCTCTTTAAATTAGATTTCAGATTATATTTCGATATAAAAAAATGAAATAGCTAATAAATTAGCAAAAAAAGTAATTTCAATATAAATCATTTCAAGCAAAATCAATATAGGATTATTTGATATAATAATAAAGGAATACAATTTTAATCAATAATTAAAGACTTTTAATCAATATAAATCCAAATCAAATTAATCAGATATAATTTATTCAAAACTTTTCTTATAGAAAATCAGCTCCAAAATCAAGCTATTAGAAGATATTAAGCAAAATATTACTAGCACCTTTTTTCAACTCAAAATCGATTACAGTTATATTAAGTCTTATTTATATCAATTCAAACTTTTAAATAATAAATATATCTATAATAATATCAAAACAACTATATATTTCCTTATTGATTACCCAATATATAAAAAAGAAAAAAGAAAATCTTCAAAGAAATACTAATCTCTAAAATCAACCTACAATTCCTGCTACATACGAAAATAGGTATCGAATTAGCAATCAAATTCATTAATACTACCAAAATCGCTACTCGAACTTGGTATTTATTAAAAGCTGAAATACAAAACAAAATTATAAAAGAAGAAAAAATAATAAGAGAAGGAGAGAGAGCCATTTTGAAAATGGAAAGAGAAAAAGAAGGAGGAGAGAAAAAATAGAGAAGAAAGAATTTAATTCTTTCTACTCTATATCTTACTATACACACTTTATATAATAAGCAAAAAACAAATCCTTAGTATTAATTTTCACTTATCTTATTATTAAAATTCCTAATTTTGTACTTTAAAAGTTATCCGCTAGACTATTTGGCCTAGTTGTTCTATATAGTTATAGACTGAAGGTGGACATTAATTAAATCAATCAATCAATCAATTAGAGATCTCTTGAGGTGGTTTAGATTAAATTTCAAATAAAAATTCAATAAGGTTATAACTAATTACAATTCTTATAACTATAATAATAAAACTAATAATTATTTTTGAATACAAAGCTCTATATTATAATAAAACCCATTTCCTTATATAGATCTTTGTTTTACTTAGATAATTGGAACAGTCAATTACTTCTGAAACACTATCATTTCTGAGCTATCCATTACAGAATACTAATCCCATAACTCTTGATATCCTAGCTTATTCTTTTATCCTAAAACTAATCCCCTAAAATATTATTAATCCTAATAAACCCTTTTTATTTATTATATTCTGTCTTTCCTAAAATCTACTATCCTAAAAACTATATTCTAGATTTCTAGGATATCCTATAACTAATATTATATACATACCTGAGGCTTTCCTTGGGTGCCTAGTGTCTCCCGGTATACTACAGCTGAATCACTGAGGCCTATAATACCATTATAGCCTATAAGTTAGTGATTCTACAGCCTGTTACTAATCCGTTGTAACATACTGAGAGGATATAGGTAATTATTACTTTTCTTAAAAAGAAAGCTAGCGGCCTGTGTATAGTGCAGGCAATTAATCTGATATATAAGGCTATTTTCATAGCTTTTACTATATGTATTTTGATATATTATAAAAATAAAAGCTAGTAATCGAAGAAGATACTCAGTTACCTTAAAGTGGGCTGAGCACTTCCATTCATTGTAATCGATATTAGAATAATTATCAGATCTGAATTCATTATCAGTTTATTTATTTATTTATTTATAGTGATTAACGTCTAATATCTGACCTCCCAAGGGGTATTCTAGACGTACTAAGGAGCGGGCCTACGGGCCGCTAGCGTTCCAGCCGCTTATAGTAGTGTAATGTTAGCTAATCAGGGGCTTGTTGCCTTTGGTGTTCCCCTGCTCAGTATCGCTCATGGCGATCCTGCAGCTGTTCTGTTTAAAGATTTGTGGTCCTGTTCTAGAGGGCCTTGTTTCGTATGTCGTCCGGGTGTCGGTGGATAATCGGATCGATCGCTATCGATCGGGAGAGTGTTCGGAGCGTTTATAACTGGTCGGTGCAGGTTTTAGATTGATTGGAGTGAAGAGCTCGTTCTTGAAGTACTGGAGCAGATTGGTATCTATGTGATTATATATAGTTTAGGTATATCTTAGTATAGAATTTGGATTTGGTGAGAAGGTCAGTAAAGCTATGTTGTGATTGCAGAACGCAATTGACATATACTATCGCATCCCATTCAGATCGTAATCAGTTTAATGCAAGCAGCCAGTTGCCGCACGTCTGATTATTGATTGGACATCGAAAGAAGTGTAATGGGCTTTTCTCGATCCCTGAATTCATTATCAATAATAGATTAATAATATTATATTATCTAATAATATAAAGTAGTTTGAATTTCTCAAAAGTAAATAGAATTCTATTCTCCTTGTTCTATTTAATAATCTATTTTACTTATTATTACGGAATTCTAGCATTTATAAAAAAATACTTGAAAGAATAATAAATCGCGATATCGTCTATATAGTCGAAACAGAATTTTATATCTCGATTAAGAAATTCAATAAGATAAAGCATATAGAGTATAGATAATAATAGGAACCCCTGAGGGATGTTATATACTATTAGATACTTCTTAATTGTAATATCTTTGAATCTCACTCTAACTTTTCTATTTATAAGAAATAAGTTTATCAATTTAAATAACGAAATTAACTATCTTTGTTTAATTATTCAGCTCAAAAATCAATACTTTAAAAGAATATCAAAGCTCCCTATACATTTATAATAACAATCAAAACCATATTACTAATTGCTAATACAAGCTCCACGTTATAAGTGAAGATAGCTACTAGATCTATCCCTGCTCTTCTAGGGAGCGCTTTATAGTATTGTGGGTTGATTACTTTATGTCTCAGAACTGTCCAAGATATTTAGCTGGCTATATACCGTTCGAGGCCCTTGCCGATGCAGGAGATATATTTACTTCGAATAGCAGCTTAGAATCAATCTTATTCCAAATATCTTCTAATTGACATCTAATTCTAAGAGTATTATATCAGTCAAATTAGCCTGATTATATAATGAGATATATAGATGTCTGGAATTGTTATATTAATATAATCAATTTAAGAAAAGTAAATAAAGAGATATAGATTATCAAATATAACTTATAATATACTCACTTTTGATTATAAAAATGGTTTATAGTAGGATAATAATATTTAAATGTAAATTAGACTTATAATTATTATATATAATAATAGTATTTGATCGTGCTGTGATTTTTAAAGCGATTTTACGATTTTGGTTAGGGGATTACTAGCCTGGAACTCAAGTGAGCCTAGCCCAGCTTGGACCCTAGGCTAGGCTGAGCTGGGGTAACGAGAGCGCTGCCCAGTCCTTGCTCTAAACGAAATCAGTAGTAGCAGCAGCGAGTCAAACCTCCACTCTGCGAAGGGTCATACGCTATCTGTTGAAGGCTTACCATCTTCGCACCGAAAATCAATGCTCCCGCAAGAGACCTGCTTCACGACTCATCTACGTGAAACATTCTGTGCTCATTTGAAGTTCACAGAACCGACAGGACCGAATTCTCAACCCACAAACGAAGTAATGCAGGATGACGATTATTTTGCTCTTAACGACGATGACGAGACACTCCCTACTTCGACTTTTCAATCGAGTCATACTACCCCGGCACTTACTGTGGATCGAGACTGCGATACACAGCAGGTGATTAAACACCCAAACAACTCGCGAACGCAGATACAGAGAGCATATTGGAGGGTAGGCAACCCAGACCGATCACGTGATGATCTCCCGAAGGATAAAATGGTCTTACTCTAGCTGGATTCTCTTATAATGAACAACTCAATCAATATGATCACTCATAAACCATTCGTTCAATAATTTTTAATAAGCGTAAACAGTTTCTCGATAGACGTCTCCCGGATCAACGGTAGATGCTTCACAATAGTTCGTAACAAGTGATTCTTCAACTGACTTGAGATGCACTATACTATATGTTCATTTGCTGACTGGGATTTGACACCCATGTCGATAAGTCCTCGGTCCACTCCCTACATGGACTCGTCTCCAAAATCTTCTGAAGGTTTTCCCATTCAACCGAATTTGGCCCAAAAGACTTCTTCATCTGGTCTTCACACCCATCCAAGGCCTCAGTAATGAAAATCCATGAGTAGCTTTTGCGCAGAAATTCCACTCCTTCTGCGCTCAATTGAAGGTCATCGAATGCTTGACCCATTGCTCTACTCCCAATGGCTATTGCCTCGGCACGAGGCTTGCGGATCTGCTCGAAAACATCAAACCAGTTCGTAATGTTCAGGCCTGGCATATAGCTGTTCGACGCTGCAGCGAGCAGGACGCCCAAAACATAAGCGTCTTCGACTGCTTGCGAGCCACCTTGTCCTTTGAAATAAAGTCAGCGTACGATTCTGTCCAGTCTCCGTGTTTGATCCCTCTTATTAGTGAATAGACATACCTTGATGGGGCAACATAGCATGTGCTGCATCCCCAATAAGCACTATCCTTCCATTCCTCCAGCTCGTTATCGGTTCTCGTTCATACAGCCCAAAAATCGTCGTGCTTTCGCCCAGCCGAAACATGGTTTTGGGATCCGTGTGAAACTCCTCAATGGTGAACATAAAGTTCTCCATATCGATCTGATCATCCCTCGCCTTCCACGACTCTTCCCATTCCTTGCCCCCAAAAGCCGGAATGATAGCCCCGACACATACCGTTTTCCCACGCTGGATGGGGTACGCCACGATGTGCTTTTTCCCTGGTGCGACCCATACGTTACCGTGTTTGCAATAATTTTGGACTTCTTGTGGGAGAGCTGCCATGTTGACGAGGCTTCGCACGACGATCTGGCCTGAGAAGATGGGTTTCTCCTGATTCCAAGTTTGGCGCACCTTTGAGCGGATTCCGTCTGCGCCAATAAGGGCAGATGCAGTCACCGAGGTACCATCTTCGAAGAAGGCCGTGACAGAGTGAGGGTCCTGAGAAATACTTTTGAGGGATTTACCTAGATGGATCTGGTCACTGGGGAGGCAGCTGGCGATCGTTTGGACGAAGTCAGCGCGGTGGCAGTAGAAGCTGCGTTTAGCAGTGTTCAATTTTCCTGTGTAGCCGACCTCCCCAGTATCATGATATCTGAGAGGCGTTAGGTTGAGGATCCTAAGTTTACTTGCAAATACAAAAAAAGAGACCTACCTATAAATGAGATTGACATGGTCCACTGGGCGAGAAGAAATGTTATCTAATACCTCGCCAACATTTAGTTTCTCGAGGAGAGCTGCCGCATTAGGACCGCTAAGTTGCCAGAAAAATGTCAGTAGAATATTTCAACTTATGGGTTCAATTGTAAAAGTGGCGTGACAACGTACATGGCAACTCCAGCACCTAACTCTGTAATAGAAGTATTTCGTTCGTATAAATCAACACGAATGCCGAATCGGCTGGCCGCGAGTGCTGTTACCAGACCGCTGATGCCACCTCCCACTATAATCACACGAAAGTCGTTTGAGGGGAGAGTAGTAGCAACCATTGAATGATATGCTTTGCACTGGCTGTGTGTGAATACAAAGGTATAGTGCTCAAGCCTTTAGGTACTTCGGGAGTGTTTATTCTAATGTTGATGTTATTCAGCTTACTATCTAACTAAGTTTAAGCGATATTAGTACTAGGAAGCTTTGCTGATGCAAGTGGTGGAAAGTTTAATTATTGTCCGACCACAAATTATAAACTTTAATTAATTGTCCGACCACAAATTATAAACTTTAATTATTATCCGACTACAAATTATAAACTTTCATCCTTAGACTTGCCGTCCAGCTACCCGGCAGTCTTAGCGGCCTCTAGTTGGCTAGAAATCAGGCCAGCGCATGTCGCTGTTTTGTGGATACACATGTCTTCAACATTACACTCGTTAAGAGGGTCTCTTGCTAATGCTATACGAAAACTTATGGGCTATGCCTCCGTACCTCGAGGGCTTTGATTGCGTTTCAAGTCTGCTGCCGGCCCTTCTTTCTTACTGGCTCCTTGAGCCTGTCAACAGCCCAGCCCTGGACCCCATGTGACTAGCACGTCCAGGACATGGTGCAAACTTGGTGAAACCTTTACGACCGTACCGGGTAATCCTCCTGCATGCACGCCGCGGTGGTACAGTACTAGGGGCCGCAAATAGGGTATTTCCAGGGGGGTGAAAGCGTAGCTTTTATGCTCTATAGATATTGTTTATGGGGGCCAGCCCCCAAACCCCGGGGTCTCACTGCGTTCGAAAGTTACGGATCCATGTCATTCTCTATAGACCATCAGAAAAAGAAGTTTAGGAACCTTTATCCCGTAGGATATACTCCTTGCATAACTCGTTCCTCAAACTGATCGAGAACCACCGCTCTCAACAACGAACACAGTACTCCATCCTAACCTGATCGACAGCAGCATAGAAGTCTTGGATTAGCTTCCATTGATCCGTAGGCAGGAAACCCGCGGGCCGTGCTGGAGGCGGAGGAGTAGAAAGTGGAGGGGAAGTGGTAGGGGGTGGAGGTGGTTGAGGTGCAGGCGCAGGCGCTAGACGTGTTTCGGATGGTTTTCGAGGGGAGTAGGTCGTAGGAATCTCCACAAGCCTGGGACAGGCGGTGGAGCCATCCTCTTATGCCAACTCTTCCTACCATAGCCACCGCACTTATCACAGGTAACGCGAATCTGGCTATTTGCGTCAGAGGGGTCTGCTAGAAAGGACGAGAGTGGGAGAGTACGGGCGCACCTAGAGCAACACTTCGAGGCCATCCCTGTAGACATGAGCTAAGATAGATAAGGTAAATAATAATAATAAAATACGGTAATAACCCCAAATAGCATCATTCCATGTATTGATATCTTATATATCAAAAATATAACTAATATAACCTCAACTAGTATTTAGTGAAACTAAGCGACTTTTCAATCTAGTATACAACTTTAAAGGAATTCATAAAATAAGAAGAAAAGCTACATAATTATTAATCAGAATTTCAGAAATTGATTAATATAATTTTTATAGATTGAAAATGAAAATTCGAATTATAATTTATTATATTAGAAATCGAGTTTGTTTTGTCACGGTAATCAGCTTTTAGTGCTTATCCCCTGTAACTAGCATTTTAATATAATCAATAATAATTTCAATTTTCATTCGAAATTTATAAAATTTATATCAATCCATTACTTGAATCTTTATTAGTAATTATATAGCTTTTTTATTTATTTCAAAAGTTCTTTAAGGTTGTATACTAAATTGAAAAATCGCAAGCCTATAAGATTAGCGATGATGTAATGAAAAAGTGCTATTTCGTTTTGTTACGTGCTAGTTGAGGTATTAATATATGGAATGATGCTATTTGGGGTTATTATCGATAAAAATATATAGAATTGCGTCCGGAACGCGTCTTTACCGCGTCTTTACTGAGCATGGCACGTGACAGCGAGTGTAAGAAGCATGTGACTTATTTTTGAGACATGGGATTTAGAAGAAAGCTACGCTTTCAACTAAGTTAGGGCCTATTTCTCCCAACGCTCCTCCATTCTACGAACAGGGCTGCAATAGTCATCAAACAAGACATACCCAGCGGAACATAAAACGCGTCTGTCAAAGCGGCATTATACGCTACCAAGAGACCATCGAGATATTTCGGATCAATTACATTCTTGAAGTCCGAAGCACCCGTATGTAGCACGGACTCGGGGTTCAAACCCGGCACAGCAGATTCTATGTGCACAACCAGGCGTGCGGAAAGGACAGTCTGCGCAATGGCCACCCCGATTGTGCCTCCCAGCATCTGCGAGAACATCATCAGTGCTGTGCCGATTGGCGCATCTCGCGGCTCTAAAATCGTTTGGACCACCACAAGTGGCTGTTGCGTGCCCAGCCCCACGCCAATCCCGAAAAGCGCTTGGTACCCAATCCATTCATTGTGACTGGTGTTTACAGTAAAGGTGGACATGAGCCCACGCCGATTGGGACAAGAACTGCGGAAGCTATCATGAACGGCGTGTAGTAGCCGACGGCTGAGACGCCGGCACCAGCCACAACCGACACAGTCACCATGCCGAGAATCGTAGGTAGGTTCCGGACGCCGGACTCGGTTGCTGATACCTCCTTGATGGCTTGGAACCAGATGGGAAGCTGGCATTTCACTTAGCGGGGATAATCGTCACAAAGCAGCAGGAGACTTACGTAGAACACCATTGTGAAGAATACGCTGACGAGGGCCGCCGAGTACCCTGCCACGCAGAGCACACTTCTCTGCTTGAGAATCCTGGGCAGTACCGTCGCATTCTCCTGCTGTTGTATCTGGATCGCGATGAAGCACGCAGCAAGAAGGCCTGCCAAGATAAAGAGCGCGATGATACGGCCACTGTTCCAGGCAAATTTGGACCCACCCCACTCGAGTGCAAGTAAGAAACAAGTGACTGACGGCATGAGAAAAGCTGTGCCGATAAGATCAAGTTGCCCGATCTTGGCTTTAAGACCGAGTGATGGCGCTGTGATGGGGTGATAGGTGTCGAGAAAGAACAATACGATTAATAGTGTGATGGCTCCAAGAGGTAGATTAATAAAAAACACCCACCGCCAAGTAAGATGATCTGTGAACACCCCGCCTAGTAAGGGTCCTGCATTATGATTAGGGAAGGAAGGAATACAAACGGGGCAGAATTTAACAATACCAGCTACAGAAGCAAGACCGTACAGCACCAACGAGCCCAGTATACACTGGCTGTTTTACTGGTGGTACGGTCATGTATATGATAACAAGCGTTCCGCTGAAGATACCGGCGCATCCAATACCTGCGACTGATCGACCAACAATCAGAACCACCGAAAGCCAATATCTTGCCCCCCTAAATAATCCTAGCAGTTATAGCGCTAATTAATTAACTGTAGGCAACAGGCAACAGCTAGCGACAAAGTCAAAATTCCTTTCGAGCGCCTATTACTGCTAGAGGTCGTGATACGAGGGAGACCGGCCTGCAACCAGACGACCCTAGACTTGAGTCAACGTACAGTACTTCCGTCGAGGGTACAAAATCCGTTTCTTCTCACCGACATTTTATATTACCTGTTTCTGCATACCATGGTTTAATACGGTTTAATAGCCGGTACCCCTCCTGTTGCACATTCGCCTACCGCAACATGAGGGGAACCAGCTATTAGGCTCATCGTCTTTTGATACTAGGGTCAGGGAGTGTTTCTTCCTGTGATTTTCGGCACGGTTATGAAATATCTTTCCGACAGAAGGTATTCAAGTTTGAATAGAAGCAGTAATGGCGACTAATAGTAGATTTGTAACATATTCATATTTTATCTTAAATATCACCGATTTAATGTTTCTGTTTAGATTACATGTCTGCGTGTGCCCTTAACATTCGTCCCTCCCGTCATACCAGCTTTTCTGCGCCTGCAACTGCGCCCGTTCCTTCGACCTCCTCCTGCGGCATTTTGAAAACTAGCTTGCGAAAGGACATGCCACCAGCGCTGACTCGTGTCACGCCGGGGATCAGGGCGGGCCATCCGCCATCGAGGACCTCGACCGGCACTTGGTGGAACTGGTTTCCCAAGTGCTGGATGGCCCATCGAACCTTGTCCGCGACGAGAGCCCCGTCCGCCACCCGTCCGCGAACCACCCGGCCGCCGCCCAGATGCACATCTTCCCCAAAGATCACCGCCGCGAAGGGTTTGAGAGTATCCCCGGAACCGCCCACGGTGGACACAATTCGCGCCGCGCCACAGCCCGTAGACCCATGCGCTTCTGCGCTCGCATCGGCGAGGATGGAGTGGATCTCGACATGGTTCATGCCCGTGGCATCGATGGCGAGGCGAAGACAGCCACCGTCGCTACCGGGGGAGAGCTCGCGCATGGCCACTGCGATCTGGTGGCGGATGGTGTCGATATGCCGGTAATCGAAGCAGCGGGTTGCCCCGCGCAGCCTCAGCGCCTCGTGATGACGCGGCGATGCCAGCACAAGGATGGGCGCTACTCCCGCCTCGCGCGCAAACTGGATGACGGCGTGGCCAACGGCAGAGCCGCCCCCCCAGACAAGCAGAGGCGCCTTGTTCTTCGCGCTGGGCGTGTCATCCAGCCCCAGCAGCCCGAACAAGCAGTCCGCGGCCGTGGCGACAACGACAGGCACGGTTGCCAACACCTGGAGTTCTGCATCTGAAGTCTGGGCGGGGAGCGGAAACACGCCTTTCGCCGCGGCAACGAGGAACTGCTGGTGGGCGCCGTGGAGCCCTGATTGCTGGTTGCCAATGCAAAGCCCCGTCCGCGCCAGACCACAGACCAAAGCCCCCGGCAGGAGACTCAGCCTGTCAGAGCCCCGGGCCACAACGGTGCCCGCGAAGTCGTACCCAGCAACGAGGTCGCAGATGCCCAGAAAAATTGAATGCTTGTGGTCCGCAGGATTGAGCCCGCTGTAAAGGACGCGGATCAGGTATTCGTCCGGCTGAAGCATCGACGGACTGATGGGGAGTTGCTGGCGGATGTCGAGACGGCCGCCCCGAGACACCCAGAGCCCTATACGTGCTTGCATTTTTGCGGGCGTACGAGATAAGAGAGAGCGATTAGATGGATTTGGAAGGGAGCTAGCTGGTACTGCGGAGTTGCCATGAGCCCTGGAGCACCGTCCCATTTATATACAAGTTTTATCTAATAGAAAGAGCGTGGAAGCTTCCAGTTCACCTAATTCACACAGTACCCTTGGCTTTTGATTATTAGGGGAAGGGGGTAGTACTTAAGCTGATCCAAGCTAACCGAAAAAGGGTGCCTCTTCTGGAAAATCAATTGATTTTCGATTTTATTCTTATTTTTTAATACACGCGGGTAGACCCGGCTTCTTTGTAACACCGAGCTGCCGTTACCCGACAGAAAGCAAAGACGACGGCAATAGCGAGGGTGCAAGGGTGGGGGCGGTGTAGGGGGTACGTACGCGAAACCTAGACGTACGATTCGAAGCTTTGTTCGCGGAACGACCGAAAGCGGGTAGAAAGCATTGTTAACGCAATCGCTTAAATAGAGTTTACAAAGGACGGAGGTACGGAGGCATATACCATAAGTTTTCGAATAGCATTAGCAATGGACCCCCTGACGAGTTTTGGACTTTAATTGATCGAGTATCAGATATCGTGGCTGGGTAGTTCTTATCATTTAGACTAATAAAGCGATGCAAACAAACGCACGTACGCGAACCCTCCCAACTAGCTCTATATGAAAACTCATGGGCTGTACCTCCGTATATAAGGGACACCACTTCTTCGCCAGGCACTGTTCACTGCAATTCCAAAAACATTTATGCTACGATAATCTTACCACATACCTAGCATGTCCGAGATTTGTTCCCCCCAAGATTCATCCGCACTGCCATCGCCGAAGGCGAGCACCGCTGTCAACCCCGAACATGTGGAAACTGTGAAGAGGGAGAAAGTAAAGGGCGAGGCGGCAAACACTTCCCAGCAAGTGACGCCCGTGTGTTTGGTATGGCTTCTAGTATCTTCTTGTTCTTATAATTGCTAATCAAAGCTCGGGTAAGGACAACATGACCCCTACAAAGAGGGAGCTTTCCGTCTTTATTTATTCCTTCATATAGATTAGGTGGAGCTTGAACAATTGAATGAAGGGCTACTATCATTATATAAAGGATTGTAGATAGACTTTTGCAAACTTCAGCGCTATATGCTCAGCCTAAATTCGTATAGTCTCAATAGCTGTTCTTTTAGAAATGAAATTGTATAGGTGTTACTTTGTGGTGTAGAAAAGCCTTTAAGAGCCAAATATTCGAGCCTACTATTAAGTCACTTAATTTTCGGCCACCGACATAAGTCCAAAATTGCTGCGCCTTAGTATATATGTACGAAAGAGAGGTCTCAACATCTAAAAATCATCCCCTCGACAGCGGTAAAACCCTTTTTTTTTATAGAACTCTATTAACCTCTCTAGTTTTCCCTCCTATTTTTCTTAATAAGCTAAGCAGAATTATGGGAGAGTAACCTTTATATACTAAAACCCCTTCGAGTAGTATAAGGCTATAGTAGCCCTAGGGTGGCTAAAGGGCAGCAAGAGGAATCACGAAATAATAATGCAATATAAGGTAAATAATAGTAGTAATAACTCTAAGGGAGTATAAATAGATTCGTGATAACAAATATATATATACTTTAGTTAAGAGACTCAAGCTTGCTTGCATGCGCAGCTCGCTTGTCAAGTACGTTACCTACTTATTGTAAAGCTATTAACCTCAGGCTAAGTATAACCTCATTTGAGTCCTTTAAAAAGGTAATTTAAAAGTTAAGATTTAACACCCTTGGTCTTGGACCTCCAGAAGGTCTGATGAGCTGCAATGTGACCCCGTCCGCGTTTCACCCGCTGCTGCCGTGGAGTCCGACAGTGCTGCAGCCGGCACTACTGTCGTTGTCGAGGGCCCGCTCCAAATTAACCCGCCCAAGTATAGGGCGCAGGAAGTGTAAGTTACGTTACATGGGTGCTAGGCTGAAGCTCATACGAAACTTTCGAGATCCAGCGAGCAAAATGACGGCACAGGTGGATACCTCCATCACGTTAGACTATTAGTTCAAGTGTTGCAGATACCGTGGCAGGAACCATGCAGAAAACTAATGGTGTAAAACCCATGTATAGACCATGTATAGAATTCAGCTGGGAAGGTGCTTAAGTGAAGTATAAAGTCTGATACTTTCCCTCTCTACAAGAGTCTAACAATTTCGCTCGATTCAGCTTCTGTCTCATTTAAATCATACCTTATCTATGTCATTCCATATCTTGGACCTCTTAGAGGATGCGGCCTCGAATACCCCTGATAAAGGATTGTACTTCTACAAAGCCGGATCGGTATCACCGCCTCAATTTTTGTCGTACCAAGGATTATTGGCGAATGCAAAGGTATGTCTGCCCTTTAAACTGCTGATAACAACGTACTTTAATACCTTTATGTCTTGACAATTTATACAGTTCAATGCCGAAATTCTGAAAAAGAAAAACATTGCTGCAAATGGCTCGATCGTCCTTCTTCATCTGGACTCTCATGTGGATTATGTTGAGTGGTTCTGGTCCGTCATTGCCGCCGGCGCCATTCCTGCCGTGTCTACACCTCTCGCATCGGACTTGGTTGCTCGAGAACGCCACCTGCTCCATCTAGAGAATATTCTTGAAAGTCCCAAGGTCCTTACAGTCGAGAGGATTCGCGGAGAACTCAGCTCTGTTCCCACGCTCGATGTGACTTCTATCGAAGCACTTTCGCTTTATGGAAAATCGACTGACGAAGTGAGAGTTAACGGAAAGGCGAACACGAATGGTTACCATACGCACCCGGACACACCAGCTCTACTAATGTTAACATCAGGGAGCACGGGAAATGCTAAAGCTGTAGAACTTAAGCATGAACAGATCCTAGCTTCCGTGAAGGGGAAATCAGGTGCATTGAATACCACAGGTCAAGATGTTTTCCTCAATTGGATAGGTAGCCACACTTCCTTGAAATTAAAATTATATCTTGTACTGAGTGAATTATAGGGTTTGATCACGTCGCATGTTTGTCGGAAATTCATTTGCACGCCATGCTTTGCGGTGCAGATCAGATACACGTCCCCGCCGTTGAACTCTTGCGCGATCCTCCTATGTTTTTTAGAGTCATAGAGAAGCATGCTGTGAGTCGCACATTCGCTCCCAACTTCTTCCTTGCCACAGTCGTCAGGGCTATTAGGAGCCAGAACCCGCATGAGCAGTACGACCTCTCATCTCTTCGCACTGTCGTAAGTGGTGGTGAGGCCAACGTCGTTTCCACTGGTTTGGATTTCACCCAGATCATAGTGTCCATGGGTGCGGCAGCCACATCGCTGCAGACGGCATTTGGTATGACAGAGACCTCTGCTGCTAGTCACTACCACCAGAACTTCCCGAGCCTGGAAAAAAACGCGGATTTACAATTCTGCTCTGTCGGTCGTACTATAAACTCCGTTCAACAGCGTATCACCGATGATGAGGGAAACGTTATGTCCCCAGGGGAAGACGGCAACCTAGAGCTTTCTGGGCCTGCAGTGTTCAAGGCTTATCACAATAACCCTGAGGCTACAGAATCGTCCTTCTCGCCAGATGGTTGGTTTAAGACGGGCGACAAAGGCTATATTGAAAATTCTGGAAATCTGATTCTGAGTGGTCGAGCCAAGGACTCAATCATCATTAACGGGGTGAAATACTTCTCACACGAGCTCGAGTCGGCCCTTGAGGGAGCCAAAATCCCGGGCGTAACTCCATCTTTTACAGCCTCTTTCTCTACATGGCCCAAGGGCGCTGATAGTGAGGAGCTGGTCATTATCTTCCTTCCCGAAGCGGGGATTGAAGATGACGACGCAGCTTTTGCTGCCACAATTGACGCCATTGGCAAGCAATCAGCCCTCTACTGCTCAAAGAATCCTATAGACATCATTCCACTGCCTCTCGAACTTCTTCCTAAATCCGCCCTCGGCAAGTTGTCCCGCCCTAAATCAAAGATTGCCTACGAAGCCGGCAGGTATGACGAGTATCGCTTCGCAGCTAAGGCGCGCGTATCGGCCTACAAAAAGCGTTCCCGGGTCGCACCAACAACGGCAACAGAGAAGGCACTCGTTGAAGTGTTTGCAACGGAGTTTGGACTAGACAAAGATGAGGTGGGCGTAGAGAATAGCTTGACAGACATGGGTGTGGATAGTATTCAGTTGATTCGATTCAAGGCACAGGTGCAGGATCACCTCAAGCTTGATCAAGAAATCCCCATGATTTCCCTCCTACAAAACCCAAGCATCAAAGGTTTGGCAGAAGTCCTGTTGCAATTGGAAAAGGGGGTTAAAGCATATGACCCAATTGTGCAGCTTCAGAATGGGACATCCAACTCGCCCCCAATTTTCTTCTTTCATCCTGGTTTGGGAGAGATCTTGGTATTCTTGAACTTGAGCAAGTTTTTCTCCGATCGTCAGGTATATGCCATTAGAGCACCGGGATTCAACCCTGGTGAAGAAATGCATAAATCAATTGATGACATGACCGAGTAAGCTATTCAGATCCCCCTATTTATAGTCATAGCTAACCGCAATCGTATATAGCACATACCTCACTGCCATCCGCAAGAAGCAACCGGAAGGTCCTTATGTGCTCGTAGGATATTCATTCGGCGCCATGATCGCATTCGAGATTGCCAAGAAGATTGAGGCCAGCGGCGGCGAAGTCGGCTTTATCGGAACGTTGAATCTCCCACCCCACATCAAATTCCGAATGATCGAGCTTGACTGGACCGAGCTCTTACTCAACCTGGTCTATTTCCTTGGCTTCATCACTGAAGACGAAGCTCACGCCATGTCTCCCGAAATGCACAAATTGCCGCAGGAAGAGGTGTTGTCGAGAATCATGAAGGTGGCGCCCAAGGACCGCCTGGTTGAACTCGACCTGAACGAGAAGAAGCTGCAGCATTGGGCAACACTCTCCTCGAAGTTGCAAGGCCTGGCTCACAATTACGATCCGTCGGGGATGGTCGAACGTATGGATGTCTTCTACGCGGTACCTTTGATAGCCGTGGGCCGCGATAAGGGCAAATGGCTTGAAGACCATCTCCTCGCCTGGAACGAATTCGTACGAACCGATGTCGAGTTCCATGATGTCCCAGGGTCCCACTACACCATGATGAACCAGGAGAATGTTTTTGAGCTGCAGAAATCAATGAAAGCCGCTATGGCTAAGCGGAACGTGCTGTGAAATACTTCTTGTGTTCATATTGAGATCACGCCTTGATCGCGTTTCACTTACCTGGCAAAACACATTATATGTGACTCTGAAGGTTGTACGCGCATGAGGAGGGCCGGCTGTTTGGCCCGGCACCCTCTTGGGATTTAATGTTTTAAGTCACGTGATGTACCATTTTGGATCTAGGATCCCTTCAGGATCTGAGAGCAGAAAGATTCCTTCTTGTGTAAGATGTATCTCTAACACCATCTATCAATCATCAATTACAAAACATACATATTCCTAATAGCCTCTTATTGTTTCCCCAGTATGCTAAAAGAACCTTTCCTTTGTAGAAATAAACCCACATAGCTCTAAATGATTATATATCCATGCTGGCGCCAATAAAGTATCTTACCAAGAATTGGATATTGAGCTGGTCATCCTTCCAGGCTCAATGTAAGGTCCATTCTTGTAATATAACCATGGCACCCAATAGAGCTTATTCCGACGCCATACGACCTTCCCCTTGTAGATAGCCATGATAAGGATCGACTGTTCTCCTCACAAGTTAGCCCAGGTCCAAGGCAGACTGTGAACGAAAATAGATCCCACAGAAAGAGTCGGGTTCCATAGTTAGGGTCATCGAGGCGTTTTTAGTGAATGCGACTTTATTCCTCATATCTCGTTCGATAAACACTACAAGTGAGTTGATTGCTTGTCATCATAATAGTTAAAGATATTGAAATCAAAAGACGAAATCAAGATTTGTAGTTTGAGAAAAGTAATACTATCGAACTTTTTTTAGCTGTAGTAAGATTAATGAGAGGAAATTAGAGATAAATTAGTTTATATAAGAGTCGATACAAGATGAAGATTAGTATATAATAGAGTATAGTTAAATAATAATACTTTTTATCAATTCCTTTAATATTAGAATCAATAAAAGATGAAGACTGATATAATATAAATATAGATTAATTATAAGGCTTTTTATTAATTTCTTCAAAACCTCTTTCTAAAACTATTATATATATATTAAAACTCTTCATTTTCGAAGCAATAATCGACTT